TCTTGACAACATCCATACCTCAGTAACTAAAATCTCAGAATGAGTGCTGGCCAGTTGAGGCTCCTTAGCAGAGTAGTGTTAAACTTAAAGTCACATTGAATTTTCCAGACTGGTGAATATAGAGAAGCTAAGTGTTCAGCGTTATTATTGTTGCATCACTCTTATGCATCTAAAGAGGACAAAAAGATTTTGCAAAAAACATATTCTGACCATATCTGTTGGGGTAGAAAAGCATCTTCCTCTACTCACAATCTGTTTATCAGACTTTAAGTGACAAGTTTGAATTAGAAACAAATGCAGGAGAGATATTCAAATGTAAATGTTAAGGTAAAAATCCCCATATCTTAGATTGTATTTTTTATTTCATGGAGTAAAAGACAATGAACCAAAGACATCTCAACAATATAAACTAAGTAGGTATGCAAATATAACATCACAGATAATTAGGTAACACAGTGAATCTGGTTGGATAGGTGTGAGGATTTACTGTAAGTTAAATACTGAGAGCTAGGTGGATGCAAAAAGAAGCCATCTGCTGACAGAAAGATTTTTTGAGATAGCATCAGGATCACATTTGGCAATGACATTCTTTCTCTTTCATTTCAGCATTCATCTCTAATATATTAATAAGTAGCTTTTGTTTCATCACCTTTTTCTTCTGCCCTGATGAGTCAGATCTTATAATTTCCAATGATGACAATCCAAATGTAGAAGTATGGATTGTATTTAGGCTTAATTTCCTGAATTATGAGTAGTGTTACAATCTCAAGTAATCTGAATGGTCTATAAATTGAAGAGCCTGATCTTCAGATTTGTAGTTTATCACTAGCATTCCTCCACAGTGCCAGGCAAACGGTTAAACTCTTTTTGATGTCTTTTTCCCTATCTCTAAGGTGCTTTGTGGTTTAGAGATGAAAGAAGTAACTACTGCAGTTGTACCTCAAGGCAGAATGGTGATCCTACATTGCAGGGTGGTGTGCCCTATGGGAAGCAAACAATTCCAAAACTAAAGAAATGGACAATGATTCTTAAGAGGCTCAACCAGCAGTTAAGAGGATTTCTATCTCTAAGCAGGGATTTACTAAACAAAATGAGTATGTACAAACAAGACTAGTACTCAAACAGGTCTGACTGTGGTAGTGCATTTCAGTTATTAGAGGCTTACTCTTTCTTTTTCTGTACTTGTAATGCAACTCCTGACACCAAGGGTGGAGCTGTAACCTCTGTCTGCATTAAGGAATCGATTGGAAGGTACCTTAGAATTTCAGAGCTTGCCTCCATAGTAATGTTCTCTGCTGTGGCACAAAAAACCCAAACAAATTAAAACCATACCAAGGAGTGATTAGGAAATATCCAGGCTAGTACTGAGGTAAAGATAGCAAGAGGGCTCTTGTGCCAGGCTCATATACCTAAAGGACTGCACCACACAGTAGTTACTGTGGCCTAGAAGCCACACTGAACACTGAACCATTTTTTAACATTTATCTTCCAGGATTAGCCCTTCTCTGTGTGGCACATAAAAAAATCGGAAAGGGTAAAGCAATAAAATGGCTAAGTAGCTTTTCAAAGAACATCTCAAACAGAAATAAAACTTATGACTGGATGCAGAGCTGCAAGGAGGGAAGATGAAAATTTTAAGCTAAAACAAAAGCTAAGCTTTTCTAAGCTAAACAAAACTTGCAATACAAGTGAGAGTCACCCTATACTTGTTGTGAATGTATTCAGACAGAAAAGCATTCTGACCACAGCCTGAAAAATAACTGTTCTTGTAAGCAAGGCAAATCAAATGATGAAAGCTTACAGTCTGCTTTGTTTATGGTGGTGGATCTTCCCTTCCTTTTATACTACTGGACTAATAATACCTAAAAATAGAGCCAAATGATCTACACCTGCTATGCAGTTTATAACTTTGGGATACATTTGAATCGTTGACATAAAAAAGGAATTTTTTAACAAACAAAAGCCAGTGAAAGAGTGTGCTCTTGTGTGCAAACTTCAGAGAAGAAATGGAACTGTTTTTCACTTTGCCAATCAGATCTAGTAGTGACTGGCAAGAAGAATTATTATTTGATGCATTTTTTCTACTTGAGCAGATGGCCAGCTCCCTATATACAACTTCAGTGACATCTTGCTAGAGACAGCAAGTTCTGGCAGTCACCCTGATTAGATGGTCCCAACTGCCCTGAAACATTAGTGGAAAGGTCAGACCCATGAAGGGAAAGATTTCATTCTCAGTGAAGTGGTAAGAAACAGTCCACAGGACTCGAGATAGGCACTGCACTGCCACCACAGAGCTTGCCACCTAGCAACATGCCAGTTGTTCTTTGAGAGCAAGAGAGAGGCCAAGGCAATGCAGTGCCAGTGCCTGCACTGTGAAAATACTGCAGAAGTCTCATGTCACTTAAGTGAGGCTTGACAGGCTGCAGGTTCAGAGGTCTGCAACACACTAGCATCCACTAATATCCAGAATGGGCAGAATTAGAGACTCATAAGACAGGGCAGAAATAATTCAATATGTTTAATGCTTCTTCCTACAGTAACAGATTCTGCTGTAAAGATGTCCTATCCTTAAAGAGACATATGGATGGGTTGAATTCTGTGGGAGAATAAATACAAAATGCTGCAACTTGTACAACAGAAAGACACTAAAACTCCTTTGTGTTTTTCTCTCTTCTGGAAGATGTCCCAAGTCAGTGAAAATCTCAGATGGCAATTGCAAATAAGGCCCTCAACAATTTTGCAGTGACTTCAGTAACAGTACTTTCCCTCCAGGAAAGAAAGAAAAGTTTATTTGATTCTAAATATTCTTATTTAAAGCTCCCCCACATCTCGCACCTATGAATGAATTTCACATGGGTAATCACAACCCTTTACTGGAAGTTGTATTTCATGAAACAAGATCAAAAGTGTCAAGAGCGAACAAACATGTCTAAGAAGTGCCACTTGAAGATAAGCCTTTGAACTCATTTGACCAATGCTATTGTTAAAAAAAAAAATCACACCTGTGTGCAGACAGATAGGCTCTCTTTATCTGGTAAAAACAAGGTGTAGAGACTCATGGGATAGATAATTAATCTCTATTGCTATCTATAGTTTCTTTGTTAACACTGTCTTGGTTGAAGTGTGAAAATATGTTCACACTTTGGAAAATGGGCGATCAGCTAATCAAATGACAATATGAATCTTAGAAACACAGAAATTACTGTAACCCAACACTACTACTTCTGACTATATAGGGTTTTAAAAGTTGTATAAGACAAACATTCGCTCAAGCATCCTTCAAGACCATAGGGGAAGTTATCACATCTTCCCCACTGTAACAATCAGTGCAGAAATTGTAGCCACCATCATCAGTTTATTTCCACTACTACACCCAGTACTTTACCCTACGGGAATTAATTGCAGGGAGTATTTTCTTTGTATAGACAAATTCCAAGAACTCTGACAGAGAGATGACATAAGCAGCACTGAATAACCAGGGGCACTAAGCAGTAGCCACTGTTCTGTTAGGGCCCTGTTAAGTAGCAGTTGTGTGTATTAAGTAGTACTGGTCTTACACCAGTGCCCCAGGAGATGTCCCAGTCAAGCAAGTTTACCAGATAAGTGTCTCAGTTAAACGAAGCATACGGTATGAACTTTTATCAAAGTGCTGCATGGCAAATACCCCACACATTTCAGCACAACTTCACAGGGCTGCCCAGGTTGTGCAAGGTTCATACTTAAAAAGATCTGACTAAACACAAATTGCATACTCCAGGTGTCATTTCAAAACTCTCTCCTGGGACAAGATATAAGTTAGACCTCATGTTTAAGGGAGACCCACTTTGCACTTTTTTTTCTTTTCTTTTTTTTTTTTTTTTTTTTTTTTAATTAAACCATCCCTTTATACCCTTGGATGCTCCTACAGGATGGAGTTCATTTTCACAGGCACTTCCACATGAATGAATTAAGTAAATTTATCTTTTCTCTATGTAAGTCGATGATCTTACTAACATCAAGACTGCATATAAAACCATGAAGAACATGTATTGACAAAGTTGTGCTTTTTCATCTGTGGTATGAAAATTCTTGATATGGCACCTAACACTTCACGTCTCTCACACAGTAACTTTCTCTTTTCTGGTGGCAAAAACTGTTCTGCTTCTGTTCATTTAAGCTGCTGTAAGAACATAATTTTACTGTGTCATTAAGTCAGCCAATGTGCCACTTCCTGGGATCACTGCACTGGCTCCCAAGTCAGACACAAGATATTTATCCTAATTTAAAGCTCTTTGTGGACAGTTGCTACCTTACTGTCTTATGCCATTTCTGCTCTGCATGTCAGCTTCATTTTCTCATCTGTCAAGATAACACTTTCTCTGATACTTTCTCATTTCTGATAATTTCTACTAGCCCCAAATAGCATGAGACTGTTATCAGACTCACAGCTGCATATGCCCTCCCTCAAAAACTATCTCTGACCCTCAAATCTCCAGAACAAAGTTGTTCTATCAACTTTTTTTCCTTTGCTCTTATTTCCTCAAGGTGTGTCTTAGTCTCTTTTGCCCTTCTCAGCTTCCATCGTTCTTGTCTGTCAGACTTGGAAATAAAACTCCCAGAAAGTCCTGTTTCCAGAGCTGCTACTGGAAGAAGCAGCAGCAGAGGACAACTTCTCCAAGCTACAAAGCTATTGGACATTTATTTCTGCAGGTACTGTTTCCATGAAAGAAGCAGCAAAGTTCTGGCCTGAAACTGATCAAATTAACACAACACACGGAGCTGACATGTAAGTTCAAAGATCTTCATCAGTAAAAGAAATTTTCAGAGTTCTAATTTTGCAGGGCATATATAAAACATCAGTAGCCAAGAGTTTAAGAGCAGCAAAAATTACTAACTTAAATAATGCCTTTTTTTAAAGGACTCAACTTACTTTGAAAGCATACATTCCCCTTTTTTGGCTCTCATGCTGAAAGCTCCTCTGCATCGTGTTTTCTTGTATTTTCTCTTTGTAGATAATATAAGAACTCTTTGCGGATTGGCTGGTATCTTTTTTTTTTTAACACTCTCTTATATCATTGCAGAAGTGGTGTAGACAAAAACCCTTAATAAAACAAATATAAATAAATTGACATGTTGCATTTCCATTGCTTTGTTCAATTAAAATTCTTAAAACAGCTTATAAACATTACCTGAAATGGTATAGTTTAAAGTTACAGAAAACAATTGTAATATTCATATTTTACTCTAAGGAATGAGATCAAACTTCTTGTTAAAAAAAGAGAAGCATAAAGGCACTTAATGGTAAAAAGCAGAAATGCTCTAGATCAGTAAGGCCAAAAGCATTCACGTGGAAGATTTTGCCTACATCACGCTCTACTAATTTTACTAATTTCTGTGAATGTATCAACAAGAACTTGGGTCTCAGTGTGGCCTCGAGTTGAAACAACACATTTTCTAATAAAGAGACAAAATTTTCAAATGGGGAAAATAATGTCAATCTGGGGAAAAACAGCACTTGAAACTTTGATGGAAAATAATTTTAATAATAAATAACATGGCATTATCTACATTCGTCCTATTGAATCTTTTAGACTGCTTATTATCTTTCAGAGGCAGACAATCTGGAAGTCTGGGAAAGGCTCCTAGGTTTCTCACTTCCCTGAGAATGCAATGTTTAAAACTCACCTTTCCACTGAACAGAAAGTAACAATGTCAGGTAACAGAGTAAATGCTACATTTGGAAGAATTTTTTCAGCCTCGTTTAAGAGGCTACTGCATAAAATGACTGATTTTTTATATCACTTGTCAGTCTAAAATGCTAAAGATAGGAAAAGAGGGTAGGCTATCTGAAAATTATGGCTTGTATTTGTTAAAACAAGACCCAAGTTTTAGATATGTCTCCTTACTTCTCGTTTCTCTCAATTTCTCAGGAATCATGTTCTTGGGTTTTTAAGTGCATGACAATTTCTGACAATTTATTACTTTTTAAATTAATTTTTTTGCTCTGTGTTTTGTGTCCCAAAAAGTGGTTATTCTTGTTTCATGCAAGTAATAAGTGAAGGCTGGTCAACCAAATATATTGCCTCCCAACTAAAGAGTTGCAGGAGGGACACTAGATTTCCTAGTTCCTCTGTCAACCGCACCGCTGTAACAGGAATGTGGTCCCAGCGATGCTGAGGCGTGAAAAGGGACCTCTTGCCCGCTGACTCGAAATCCCTTTTTATGGTCAGAAACCAACTCATCGATAAAAACAGCCACTGAAATTCTCATTTGCCACTTCAAGTCCTTGCTGTGGAAGCCTCGAGCACCCCAAGGGCTGGAGGATGTGCCACCAGTCCCTGTCAGAGGCTGCACACACACAGACACATACAGAGGCTTCCTCGAGGTTCCCCGGGAAGCCGGCGCTCACCCCAGGCCTGTTGGGAGCCCAGATCTGGGCTCCTCAGTACAAGACATGGAACTGCTGTGGCGGATCCAGCTGAGGGCAATGAGTGGTGGACTGGAGCATGTCTCTTATGAGGAAAGGCTGAAGGAGCTCGGCCTGCTCCATCTCGAGAAGAAACATCTGATAAGGAACTTTATCAATATAAATATCTAAAGTGGGAGTGCCAAGAGGATGGAGCCAGGCTCTGCTCCATGGTACCAAAGACTAAGACTAGAGACAACAAGCAGAATCCGATGCACAGGGAATTCCACCTGAACATGACAAAGAATTTCTTTACTGTGCGGGTGGACCACGTACTGGAACGGCTTACCCAGAGAGGGCGTGGAGCGCCCCTCACTAGAGATACTCCAGAACAATCTGGACGCAATCCTCTAGGATGACCCTGTTTGCGCAGGTAGGTGGACCAGATGACCCAGCGCAACCCCTTTTCAATCTGACCCATTCTGTGATTTTGCCATCCCTCGGTGACTCACACCGCACGAACCCAGCCGCGGCGCCTCAGAGCCGCCCCGCCGCCCACAAACGCCCACACGCGCGGCCCCGCGCTCCCGCCCCCGGTTCCGCCCGGCGCGGGGCGGAGCGCGGGAGCGGCCGGGCCGTGCCGCGCCTGCGCCGCAGGGCCGGGGCCGCGCGCAGCCGCCGCCGCGCGGGGCCGCAGATGGAGCCTGCCCCCGGCGCCGCAGGTAGGGGCGGCCGACGGCGGGCGGGAAAGAGGGAGGGAAGAAGGGAGGACGGCGGCGCGGCGGAGAGTCCCCACAGAGATACTCACTTCACCTCCGCCCTCCTCTCCCCCGCCGCCGCTCGCCTCGCCGAGGCTTCCTGTGGGAAACCCCCGTCGCTTTCCGCCGGCCCCTCACACCCGCCGGAGAGGGCGGTAGCCTGGGCTGAGGCGCACAGCCTGTGGGTGCTGGGAAGGGCCACCCTGGGGGGCTCCTTCCCGGCCTCCGCGAGGATCCGGGTGGCCTGGGACGTTCCTGCTGCCCTCGGCGCGCTCCCGGCGCCACCTCCCTGTTCCCTCCTTGCCTCTCTGCCGCCGCCGTGACCTCCAGCGCCGGGACGCGGGGCGGAGGCGGCTCCGGGCGTCCCGGCGCCGCGGGGGCCTGCGGTAGCCTCGCTGGCTGCGTAACAAACGTAAAGGCAAAGCACCAAGGCTGTGATGTCCTCGGCTTCGTGCTACCGGGGTCTTGTCCGAATGGCTGTAGACACGTGTTTACAGGAGTGAATGTAAACCCATGGCCTTTATACCCATGGCCTTTATACCCATGTAGTGTTTATTCACTATGCCCAGAGTTCCCGAGTCAGGAGTCTCCTGCTTGGTGTCTTAAAAGACTATTCCCTCCAGCTAACGCGAGGTGTTGAGTCTCCCGCAGGTGGTGGTAACCTGCAATGGTCGTGGCTGTGCACCTCCGTCCCTGCTGCCTGTGGCTGCTTGTCCAAAAGCCGAAGGATGCTGGACAAGGCCAGACTCTGAGTTTCTGATGCAAACCTGTTTTGGATTTGGGTCTCCAGGCCTTGCAAACAAGGCATTCATATAGTCAAGTTCTGGGATTATTGATAGTATCCTCTAAACATTGATCTGTTACTCAGTTAAGAAAACGTTATAAAACTTACCGTGGTATTTCAAGTGGCAGATGATCATCTACAGCGTAATTTCACCTCCTGGTTGTCGTTTGGAAAAAGCCTAGTTATTACATTAGTTAATTCACAGATTCACAGAATAGGCTGAGTTGTAAGGGACCCACAAGCATCATCGAGTTTGACTCTTAAGTAAATGGTCCAAAATGGGATGAAACCCACAACTTGGTGTTATTAGCAGCATGCTGTAACCAACTGAGCTAATCCCAGCAATTCAACCTGTTGTGATTTCAGTGCAGAACAAAAGCCATGGCACCGAACACTGAAGTCATCAGCATTCTGCTTCCATATTTATGCATGTAATGACATTATCTGTCCCTCCCAAACCATACTGTGATTTTACCTTAGCTGTGGTAGGACTGCTAAGGGTGTACTTTTGGTACCTGCTGTGTGGCACCAATACTGAGATTCATCTCCTGAGCAGTGACATTGCTTACTGACACCTCTCTAAATCTGCTATCTTGTTATCCACTATCTTTTGCTTTCCTCCCCGCACTCCCCATCAGTTTCTGGCTTATACAGCTCTGTTGAAAACCTCAGAATGTACAAAACATGAAGATGTCTAAGTGAGGTAGTAGAGAAACTGAAGCAATAGCTGCAAGAGGTGTGAGCTGCCCTGTTTGTATTAGGAAGGTGTTAACACAAATACCCTGATGTGGTAGGTTTTAATGTTTTAAGCATTGTTAACTGCTTCTTGGCTCGTATATGAGAAAAAAAGCAGAAGTATCACAGTTCTGTAAATTGTTACCATGACTGATACTTCATTTTATGGTCACAAAAGACACAAGTATTCTCATGGCTTTGAAAGGCAGTAGGGAGTGAATATCAAGGAGTCCTCTGAAACTCAGATTGTAGAACCTGTAAATTATGTTGTGATTTGTATGGGAGGAGTTTTTTTGATAGCCATAGTTTGGGAAGAAACTGTGGTTGTGTCATTAGGTGATTATATCCAATAAATAAATCGGTAGTAAACATGTTCACAAGATTTTATGTTCATAAAATTGCAGATTATCCTGAGTTGAAATATATCCACAAGGATCCTCAGGTCCAGTTCCTGGCCCTGACTTCCCCAATAATCACGCTATGTGCCTGAATGTGTTGTCCAAATGCTTCTTGAACTCTGTCAGGCTTGGGTCCTGAGAACTTCCTTGGAGAGCCTGTTCCAGTGCCCAGCCACCATCTGGGTGAAAAACCTTTTCCTAATATCGAATTTAGAAAACATCCCCTAACTCAGCTTAAAGCTTCTGCTTTTCTCCTTGTGGGAAAGCTGTAGACTGCAGTGAGATCTCCTTTCAGTCTCCAGGCTGAACAAACAAGTAACCTCAGCTGCTCCTTGAGTGGCTTCAGGCCCTTCCTCTCCTCTAGACCCCTCACCACTTTGTAGCTCTCCTTTTGATGCTCTCCTAAAGCTTTATATCCTTGTATTGTGATGCCCAAAACACACAGGACTTGAGGTGGGGCAGCCCTAGTGCAGAGCAGAGCAGGACAATCCCCTCCCCTGCCTGGCTGGTGATGCTGTCCCTGCTGCCCCCCAGGACAGGGCTGGCCCTCCTGGCTGCCAGGGCACTGCTGGCTCTCATTCAGCTTTCTGTCAACCAGGACACCCAGGTCCCTTTCTGCAGTGCTGCTCTCCAGATGCTTTTCCCCCACTCTGCCTGTACATCCAGAATTGCTCCATCCCAGGTGTTAAACTGTGTTAAACTTCACATGGTTGGTGATTGTTCAGCCCTTAATTTGTCTAGGTCTTCCTGGAGGGTCTCTCTGCCTTTGAGTGAGTCAACAGCTTCTCCCAGTTTAGGAAAATGTTACACTATTTATTTTATCCTTCTCCAAAATCAATGTGCTGCAGCCCAGCATCAAATTTGAAGCACTTTCAAAGCTATGTACAGTGCTGCTTTTGGGAGCAGAGGCCATGGGTTATGAGAAAACTCATTTTATTTTTAATATGCACTTGATTATAGCTGTCATTTTCAGGTGGTGATGTTTGGATCCATAGTTGAAGATTCACAGATGCATAAAGTGGAGTCATGGATAATAGCTGAGATAGAAATACAGGTTTTGGTACCTGTTCTTGACATAGGGCTTAAAAGCAGAGGGTCTGAAGACTAATTAGATATTTTTCCTAAGCTACTTAATATGTCTATTTCTTCATGTCGGGTAGAAGTGTAGGTTGTTAAATACAAGAGCAGTTTTATCAGTGGATGGAGAAAATTGGGCTTGCAGAATGGATGTGACTTCTTTCAAAGTGGCAAGGGCAGTAAGACTAGAGCTAGAAGAATACATTGAAAAGAATGAAATTATAGCCTCAAAAGATAGAAAGGGTAAAATAATGAGGGATAAAGCAATGTTGAATTTAAAGGGAAAAATGTAGAAGTAAAAGTTGTTTTTCAGCTGTTCTTTTTCAACTTTTAATTAAACATCTTTTAGATAAGTTTTGTGATTAATAACATAAATTGCCAGAATAACATCTGCAATCCTTGTGTTAATGTAACTGAAAGGCTTGTAGCCTTGTCACCTCATGCTCTGAAACTTAAGAGAGCACTGGTGTGTTTTGGTATTAGTTTCCAAGATGTTAATTCATTTATATTGCATGTACTAATTGTTCACTTACTACAGAGGTACAGAAGTCAAAGGTAGGCATTTTTTTTTTATTTGTCTCTTAATCCTTACTTCCAGTTAAAGATATTTTTTTTTTTTTAATGCAGGAAGAATGGTATTCGGTCTTGTTATTCATAAGCCTTGCTCTTCATTTGTGTGTGATGTTCTTTATTTGGAATGAAAGTTGTAAATTTTATCTTGAAGGGGGTGGCTAAAGAGCTAAATATTCAACCTTCCAGGGAGTTTGGGCAGATTTGTTTCTATAATGAAGCTTTTATTTGTGACTTATATTGTTTTTCATTACACTTTGACACACACTTCTGAAAATTATGTAGTGCAGGAGCAGCTGATTAATGGTTTTTAGCATGATGGCAAATCTTAGGTGGTTAACATCTCCTCTTGTAGTAACTGGGGGATTTGTTGGTTGCTAGATTTTCCTGCATCCCTTCCTCGTCCATATTAGGTACTTTGCTCTTTCTGTGTCGGATTTACTTCCTACTTGTCTCTTGCTTCTGGTGTAAATTATTGCACCGTTTCTTATGTCACTGCTTAGCTCTATTTTATGTGATCTGTTTGGTTTATACAATTCAGTTACTTTGGGTTTTTTCAGGACCTTTCTCTGTTTCTTACTCCAAGTGGAAGTGAGCATTAAATTCTTGGACATCATTCACTGTAAGTTAGAAAGGGCATAGAAGAAATGGGTATTATACACTTGGGACTGATTTCAGACAAGAGGTGCTCAAATGTGTGGGCTTGACTTTTTAAAAAGTGTACAACCCTATCCTATATGTAGGAATTGAATTGTGGCTGTGCTGTTAGTATATTTTGGCATCTCAGAAAAAACCCTGGAATGTGTATTTGGTTGCTGAAATCCTGCTGCATGGAAACACCATTAAGTGTTTAAGTGACAGAAAGTCATGTTGAGGATTTTGCATCAGTTACCAAGTGAAGCACTCAGAAGCTTTACAGTGGTGCAAATTAGGGCTGGTTCTGCTGGTTTAATCCTTGGTCAGTCCAAGGTTCAAACCAGCAGGTTTACTGCATTTTGCTGGAATTCTCATCTGTTGTCAGATGGGATTTGAGGTGCACTGTGGTGTTCCCTTTATAGGTAGCTTGCAACTTAAGTTTTCCTAACTGGCAAGTCTGTCATATGTGAACAATGGTGCAGGCTATGTGTTAATGAAGCTGCATTATTTCCAGTAGTAATTATTAAGTCTTAATCTGTAATTAATTTTCAGGGCCTGTAACTGGATTTGCTGTGTGATCAGCAGTGTAAAAATATCTCCTCATGTCAACTTTATTACTCACTAGATGTATGAGTATTTGCAATCTGCATGTAATTAACAAGAAAGTGTGCTTTGTAGGTCTGCTTTTCCTTTTCTTTCTAGGCATTACAGACTTGCTGTAATACAGCCATTGTTCACTTTTAGCAAACAGCATTCTCGTAATTCAGTACTGCCGTATTGCAGGAATATGAGCCTGAAAGCAAAATGTAAGATAACAAATTCAGCCAGTGAAAAAGGTGAAAATTGACTTTGAGGCAATGATAGAATGGTGAGAAGTTAAAGCTTTGGAAATTTTCCCTGTTGTTGTCATTCCTGTTCTCCATCTTAATTTAAAATTATGTCAGTATTAGAAAGATCTCAAAATCTGTTAACATTTTAAATACAAATAAATTTATTCATGTACATTTAAAGAAGAGAAAAGGATACTGCATAGAAAACCTGCATTGATAAGTTTCTTTTGCTTTTAAATTAGAGTTCCAAGGTATCACAGATGTAGTTTCACTTGGATTATAACACTTCTGTCATTTCATATT